TTGTAAATGGAATTCCTTAATTTCTCTTTCTGCTGCTTCATTACTGATGTATAGAAATGCAATAGATTTCTGTACATTGATTCTGTATCCTGCGACATTACTGAATTCATTTTTCAGCTCTACCCAATTTTTTGGTGGAGTCTTTCAGGTTTTTTTATGTTTAGTATCCTATCATCTGCAAAGAGTGAAAGTTTTACTTCTTCTTTGCTGATTTGGAAGCCTTTTATTTCTTTGTGTTGTCTGATAGCAGAGGCTAGGGCTTCCAGTACTATGTTAAATAACAGTGGTGAGAGTGGACATCCCTGTCTTGTTCCTGACCATAGAGGAAATCTCTCAATTTTTCCCCATTTAGGATGATATTAGCTGTGGGTTTTTCACCTATGGCCTTTATTATGTTAGCATTATCTTTTTTAATCCTGGTACACCCAAAGTATAATCACAGTGCATAGACAGAAATGAGCTCTAAAAGGTTTATCTTTTTACCTGAATGGTTAAAGTTGCATCAAAAGACAAGAAAACCTTCAGTGAATCAACATGTGAAGTATCACATGCATGTTAACTATTGAAAATAATATTTGTGGAGCTCGTAAAAATAGTGTTATCTAAATATAAATTTAAGGGACGCCTGGGTGGCTCAGTCGGTTGGGCGTCTGCCTTCAGCTCGGGTCATGATCTCTGGGTCCTGGGATCGAGTCCCACATCAGGCTCCTTGCTCAGCGGGGAGTCTCCTTCTCCCTCTGCCTGTCGCTCCCTCTGCTTGTGCTCGCCTCTTTCTGACAAATAAATAAAATAAAATAAATCTTAAAAAAAATAAATACAAATTTAAAAGAGCTGTTAACATGAGTGGAGCATGTACAATATACGAGGGGCTGTGCCAGTTACTTTATATGCTTATTTCAGTGAGACCTCACAGTAACCCTATAAGGAAGATACTATTAATACCCTATTTCCAAACTTTATCACTTTGTAGGTATGATACAACTATTTTCATTTTATATTTAAAACAATTTGATCCTAGGAAAGGTAAGTCAGTGTTATATATTTTATCTGTATATCATGTATCATCAAGTTAAAATCTGTTTAAGTGTTTATGAATTTCTGCAATAAAATAGTTTAAATATAGCTAGTGGGAATCATGCTGCAATGTTAACTTTTCTGTTTTTAGGGTTTGGACAGAGGATCCAAAGGCCAAATTTCCACTTTTAGCAGTTTTATTTCAACTGTTAACCAGAAGAAAGAAGCCGCTGAAAACAGAAGTTCACCTACACATCTTGCTTTCCCTAACATCAAGAATGGTAAAATAATAATAATGATGATTATTAAAAGTACACATAGTCTGTGTATTTTGGCTGAAAATATATTATCAAACTATTAAAAAGTAGTTTTTTCATAGGTGAAGTTAATTAATACAATATGAAAAAGAAATAAGCTGTATAAATATTTACAGAAAGGAGCAAAATTGTTATTTTTAGGTGATTGTTACCTAGGGTAAGGTATGAATGAGATACAAAGCTCATGAATAATAGAATTTGGTTAGGCAGCCAGACACTATACAAATATATGAAAATTCAGTATATTTCCTTTACTTGAGGAATAATCAATTAGAAGACTTGATGGAAAAATAATGAAATACTTAGAAATAAACCTAAAAGAAAGTGAGCTAAACCCATATGAGGAAAACTGTAAGACTTTATCAAAAGACTAAAAGGTTGTGGGATGGAAAAACAGCAAGATGTCAGGTATACCCAGTTTACTCTCTACATTTAATACATTTTTCAGCAGTTTTGGAGCGGAGATATTAAAATGATGCTCTATGTGATCTATAAGAATCAGTGTCCAAGAAGATGCAAGCAAAAATAATGAGGGAGCCCCTTTCCCTGTAGTACATATATTATAAAGCTATTTTAATTGCAGTACTGCCGCAAAGACAGCCAAATAGATCAGTAAAATATATAGTACATAAGTGGTATTCAGTTATTCAAAAAATGGAATTAGGATGACTGGCTAACCTGTTGAAAATAGTAACTTGAGATTTTTTTAAACTACAAAAGTACTAGAAGAAAACACAGGAGGTTATTTATATAAAAAATCTCTTGGCATGATAACAATGCCAAGAGCCATAAAACAAAAAATTGACAAGTTTCAGTATATAAGAAAATTTAAAACTTCCGTAGGAATTTTTTAAAGTCATAAAGTATAAACACGTACAAATGTCATATATAGTCTGTGAAAAACATATCCTTGATCATAAAGACTATTAATAAATCAATAAAATGAACATTCCAATGAAGAAAAGGCAAAGGATCTGAACAGACTAATCAAAAGAGGAAAAATATGAGCAATAACTACACATGTGAAAGGATGCTCAATCTCACTTGTTTTTAAAGAAGTACAAATTACAATAAAAAGTTTACATTTTCCTCTGTGGTTGCAGAGAATGAAAGGATTTATATCTGTGATGTTGTCTAGGGAATGTGAAAATTGGCACTTTTATGAAGGGGTGACTTAGAGTACTATGTCTCTATTAAGAAAAATGTGATATGTGTATAAAGTGTCTAGGGGAAGTGCCCACAGTACACTGTAAAATAAAAACATAAGTTACACATAATAGGTAGAATATGACTCCAGGTTTTTAAGAGTTTTTAAGAGTAGGGAAACGTTTTATACTTCTTTAAGCATATAAAGAGGTATGGAAGGATGGCCACCAATCGGTTTAATGGTTTCCTCAGGAGAGTAGAATTGGGTGTATATTATAAATATGCTTTATTTTTCTGTACAACTCTGTATTGTTTTGTCACAGGAAACATCAATTACTTGCATAATTTTAATTTCCCCTGGCCTATAACAAAACAAATCTGCAAAGGTTTAAATGTCCCTGCACCCAAACAACACAGAACAATCCTAGAAATGTGTAAGGACATAGTTTTTGGTAAATTGCTTGTGTCCATAGCTGTGTGTGGCATAAATTCTTCTCACACAGATTTTCGGTTGATACGTCATGCTAGTGCTAACTTTTGCAGGTTAGCATTTACCTTATTTCATTTATCAAGCTTTGCCTTTGATAACTTCTTTCCTCCTGTATTTATGCACTCAGTGTACACACATATACACACACACATGTTCTATCCCCTCAGTCTCACTCCAAGGAGGTACTAGTGCCCTTCATGTCAGTCCCCCAACCCACAACAAAACAAAACAAAGCTGCAGTTGTGGTACCATTAAAGAAATAAAGAAAATGAGCCTATTTGATGGGGAGAGGAATTGAGAGAAATGATATATATTTTAGACATGTTAACTAGATAACAACTGTAAATTATATTCGTGTATTATTTGTGTATACGTTACTTTATCTGAGCCTTGCAACAATCACATAAAATAGAATAGATACTAGAATCCCTGTTGTATTAGTTTTTTATTGCTGTATAACAAATTACCACAAACCTAATGGTTTAAAAGCAACACCCATTTATTAGCTGATGGCTCTTTAAGTCAGACGTCTTGGTGAGTGTGGCTGGGTTTTCTGCTGGGCTGGGCTCTGGGGGAAGAATCCTCCTCCCAGCATCTTCAGGTTGCTGGCAGAATCCCTGCTGACTATCAGCCAGGGCTGCTCTCAGCTCCTAAAGAGACCACTTATACAGTCTGCCACCTCTGCTCACAGACCCTCTTGGAATATTGTAGCTTTGTGTTTCAAGGCTGGTAGCAGGAGCCCTTGTGTTGAATCCCCTTCATGTTTCCAGTCTCTCTGACTTTGTCTTTTGCAACCAGTGGGAGAAAACTCTTTGCTTGTAGAAGTCTCATGTCATTAGGTTTTGTGTACCTGGATAGTCTCCCTATTTTAAGGTGAGCCAATTAATTATTTATATCTGCACAGTCCCTTTTGTCATGTAATGCAATGTAATCCTGATGGGACACCAGAAAGCTGAGACTCATGCCGGCGATCTTAGTTTCTGTTTATCACACCATTTTATAAGTATGGAAACAGGCTCAGAGAGGGTAAATGACTTGGCTGAGGTCACTGCTAAGTGTCAGAACCAAAATTCAATCCACATTTTGTGACAAAACCCTTGTTCCTCTATCTGACAGATAGAGGAAATTCCTGATTGACTTGTTTCTCTTGCCTGATTAATCATATCACATTAATCATACAACTCTAATTACATCATCTTCATACTCCCTAATGCTTCCAAAATTAAATAAAAAATTTTTACCTTGACACTCAAGGACGTTCAAAATATGACAGCTTTTCGACGTGATCTCCCACTTTTCTCCTACATATAACTACATTTTAGCTATTCTCCTGGATGCCTCATACCTTACCTCAGAGATTTTGCCAGTTTGTTCCCACTGCCTGGAATGCACTCTCCCCTCTTTTCCATCTGACACATCCTGTCCTTCAAAGCTACTTCTTTCTTAAACCTTTGCTGATTCTCTCCAACCAGATATAGTTCTTCCCTCCTTTGACTTTCCATTTAGGTTTTCTTTTGTTATTACCTCTTATCAGTCAACCCCGTCTTATGTGTTACCATTCGAATACTATTAACTCTTAGACTGTATTTTCCATGAGGGAATAAATACCTTTGTAATCCCCGCAGGCCCCAGGCAGTTACCTGTCCATCAGAGGGTCTTACAGGTACAGTTGACCAGTTGACTCTTGAATGACACAGGTTTGAACTGCATAGATCTATTCATATGCAGATTTTTTTCAATAAATATAGTACAGTACAGTGAATGTATTTTCCTTGTGATTTTCTTAACATTTTATTTTTCTAGCTTATTATTTTAAGAATATGGTGTATGATACATATAACATACAAAATACATGTTAACCAACTGTTTATGTCATCAGGAAGGCTTCCAGTCAACAGTAGGCTATTAGTAGTTAAGTTTTGGGGGAGTCAAAAGTTATACATGGATTTTCAACTGCATGAGGGGTTGGCGCCCCTTCCCGCACATTGTTAAAGGGTCAGCTGTATTTATTGCATAGAGTCAAACAAGAGAGAACCCAGGACGGAGGAAATAGCTATCAGAGCGGATGTGCCAAAGCAGTAACGTCAGCTGCAACAATAACTCCATATCGTGCTTTCTGTGTGCCACTCCTGGTTCTGAGCGCCGTACATATGTGAATCCATTTAGTCCTTATTGCAGCTGAAGGTTGGAATTCTTTTCCCATTTCAAAGTCAAGGAAACTTAAGCCACAGAGTTTTAAGTGACTTGCCCTGCATGAACTTACATAGCTAATGAATGGCAGACATAGAAAAAGGAAGAGAGCCAAGGGTAGTTTTGGATAAGGCCTTCATTAAAAGAAGAGTTGGTATAAGAAAAGAAAGTGAGTCCTGAAAGAGGGAAAAGAACCGTGTCGTGCTGTGACTTAGAAATCAGGGGAAAAGAGGGGCGCCTGGATGGTTCAGTCAGTTAAGCATCCAACTCTTGGTTTTCAGCTCAGGTCATGATCTTGTGTGTCAGGAGATCAAGCCCCACATGGAGCCCTGCGTCAGGCTCCACGCTCAGTGGGGAGTCTAGTTGAGATTCTCTCCCTCTGCCCCTTCCCCAACTCGCACGCGTGCATTCTCTTTCTCTAAAATAAATAAATAATCTTTAAGAAAAAGAGAAATCAAGGGAAAAGAAAATTTAAAGAAGAGGATTTGGTCTACGATGTCATTGCTAAGTGAGGACAAGATGAATGAGCACTGAGACAATGCCAAGGATTTGTTGTTTAATGTGTTTATTGGTGACTTTTAAAAGAACAGTTTCAGTAGGATGGTATGAGGAGAATTCAAATTATAGAAAGTTAAGGGGCAGATTAGTGGTGAGGTTGTAGGGGCAATGTAGACTGCCTAGCTTGAACTGAAGATTAGCTTGAACTGAAAGAAAAGCAGGGTCTTGCAGAGTAGTGTGGTCAAGGGAAAGGATCTAATACAGAGGGAGAGACTAAAGTTGCAGTAGGAAAATAGAATAATAAAATGAACTAGTAGAATAGAGAAGTGGTATGAGGATAGGATCAAGGAAAAATGCAAAGCATAGGGGTTGAGATGTCAGCTCCAGCAAGGTTAGAAGAGCACTTGTTACTCATACTGTGGAATTAGAGGGAAGAGAGGAAGTAGGAAGAGGAAATGGAAGTAGGAAACTCAATTCTTCTTGCCTTGAATTCACTAATCTCCTTGGAAGGTATATTAGTTTCCTCTCGCTGCTATAACATAGAACATAAACTTGATAGCTTAAAACAACAGAATTTTATTCTCTCATGGTTCTGGAGGCTAGAGGTCTGAAATCCATGCATTGGTGGAATTGGTTCCTT